ATCTCAATACTTTGGGCTTGTTGCTAGAGGAGGCTATTCCTTGGCGAGTGACCACATTGCTGTGAGAGTGCCTTCTAATATTATTCATAGTTATTGCTAGTTGTCCAAGTATCCCAGAGAATAGAAGTTTTGAATGACTATATGGTTAGAGTTAAAAGGAAAAAGTGAGCCAAATAGAAATATTCAATAACTATAATTTTTCACTCCAGTAACAGTGGCAAAGTTTAACAGGGCAGCAAGTAATAATGTTGGAGAGGATGTGGTAAGACAGGAACTCTTATACATTGTTGGTGGGATTGTAAAATGGTGCACCCACTCTGGAAGGAAGTTTGGCGCTTCCTCAAAAAGCTGAACATAGAAATTCTATATGACGCAGCTATTCCACTACTTGGAAGATACCATGAGAATATGAGAACTGAGGCACAAACTGAGATTTGTACACCAATGTTCATAGCAGCGTTATTCACCATCAAAAGAGCAGGGAAACAGCCCAAATGTCCAACCACAAACGCATGGATTGAGAAATTATGGTACATTCACACAATGGAATACTATGCAGCACGTAGGAGCAATAACTTTGTAAATTATTACCTAAATTGGGAGGGACGGGAGAGCATTATGCTGAGTGAACTAACTCAACCCCACAAGGATAAATATTGTATAAAACCATTATTGTAGAATGAATATAAGGACCCAGGAGGGGTGGGAGCGGTTGGAAGCAGAGGGATGTGGATGTGCAGGGGGAGGGAGGATTAATCATGGGGTTGTACAGTTTGTTGGGTGGGGGAATGAGGGAATTTGAAAGAATTTGTTCTTGAAAACAATGTATTCTAATTTTGAAAATAAATTAGTAGAAAATTTAAAATAAATAAGAATGTAATTCAAGATTTAGATGACTCTGTTTGGAAGCATTAACTTACACGTGCTCTCTTTGTATTTCTGTCTCTCTGTCTCTGTCTCTCTCTCTCTCACACACACGCGTCTACTCATGAAATCCATAAAGCAGAGAGAAAGGTTTTTATAACCATCCATGTATCCAAGGCAGGGGAAGGATTTGTGTTAATGTAAATCTCTCCCTGGCCCCAGAGGGCATTTCTGTTTACCCAACCCGTGTATAAAAATACCTTACGGCATATATTTTAGTCAGCAAGTATTCTTCCATGGTGGAAATGATTTACTGAAACTTAGACCCTCTCCTGAAACCCAGCCAAAACTCTGATTTGGAAAACCAAGAAGTCCTATTTCGTTTCCACCATCATTGTTACTGAACTAACCTGGCTGCATAATTAGTCACATAGAAAGTTCTTGTGCTCTCTCCTTTCATTTAAGCATTGTGAGGTAGTTTTTCTCTCTCCCACGGTACATTTGAAGAATCTGCGGAGGTGAATATTTGGATTTTAATACATGGTAGTGACTGTGTTTACCGATTCCTCACCAAGGTGTCTGCCACTGTGTGGGTGTTTCTTGGCCCAAGAGAATTGGATGCTTCTAGAAATTGAATTTGTACATCTGGCAGCCGAAAGCATCTTGTATGTATATTTTGGTTGGGAAAGAAATATTTTGAGATGGCCATTCTGCACAGATTCCATAAGGCTTGGGAACATTTATAACCTGTTATTTCAGAAGCTGCACCATTTGTAGCTCCGGAGATACAGAAATAAGTTGTGTGTCTCGTGTATGTGACAAGAGTTGCAACCTTAAACAAGATTTCTAGGCATTTACAGTTGAACCATGATGCCAGTGAAGATATGTTTATTTAGACATTAAAATCCTAGGGTGTGCACGTTACATCCCAACCGCGTGTGTCGCTTGAGCTCACTTTGCTAATACGCTTTAGCTCTGAATGGCTTTTGTGCTGTCTCCTGGAGCGTTAATGTACTAGGAGGAAAGTTGAACTTGGATAATGAGTCTTATTTTTTTTTCTTCTCAGCACATGACTCTGCTGCAGAGAGCTGTGTCTGATGGAGGCAAAAGTCACATCCCACTGAAGAGGTGAAGCTCTTGGCGTTGGACGCTCAGGGCAGTGTAGAAGCCCTCTCGTGTGGGACATGACCTCCCTCTCTTCATTATTAGATGAGAGAGAACACTGAGTGTTTTCCTTCACTCTCTACTCGTGTGTCCGTGTATCCAGCAAGCTGGGTTCAAAGAATGCTCACAAAGCAGCGTGGTTAATAATAGCAAAGAAAGAGTCAGGGAGATCCTGTGTTTACAGGGCCTCAAGTCAACTGTACTTTGTCAAAATATAATAGTCAGAAGTTAAAAATGATCTCTCTGATTCCGGAATGCTGTGTGGTGTTGTGTGTGTGCCATCGAGTCCCAGCCAACTCAGAGCTGACCCTCCAGCGGGTTTTCACCGGCCGTAACTTGCACTGGGGAAGTCTGCCCATCTTCTCCAGCAAAGCAGCTGATAGGTCCTAACTGTGTGCCCATAAGGTGTATTTATTCCATCACAGAGGCAAAGAATAAAATGACATAGCACGTTCAGAGAAGGACATGGCAGAAATATTGGCGTGGTTGTTCTTGTTATCAGGTGCCATCCGACTGACTCTGACCATGACTGTGAATGACCAGATCAGGACTTTGCTCTCTCTCGTGCCAACTTCACGATGTCTCATACACTCAAGACCGTTGTTATGGTCATTGATACGGTTTCTGTGTCAATCCATCTTATTGAGGGTCGTCCTTTCTTTGAGGATTTAGGTAAAAAATTAAGGAGAGGAGGTGAAAAGAAGGAAGGGAGAAAAAAGAAGTTCATAAGAAAATAAGTAGTGTAAGCATATATCTGCTTGGACGGCAGTTGGTTTCTTTAGGGTATATTCCGAGTAGTGGAACTGCTGGGTCAAATAGTATTTCTGTTTCTAACTTTTTGAGAAAGTGCTGTACAACCTTCCAGAGTGGTTGTACCATTTTACATTCCCACCAACAGTTAATAAGAAGAGTTCCAGAACTGCCACCCAAGCAGATAAATGCACACCCATGTTTATCAAGGCTTTGTTCACAATAGCAAAGTGTTGGAAACAACCCAAGTGCCCATCAACAAACAAATAGATAGAGAAGCTGTGGTATATTCAACAATGGAATACTATGCAGCATTGAAAAATAAGGAACTCATGCAATATTCAAGATGGGTGACCCTGGAGGACATTATGCTGAGTGAAATATCTCAGTCACAAAAGGACAAATACTGCATATGGCCACTATTGTAAAATGGGACTGACATCGGGGTTGGTGGGAAACTAACAGGGAATAAATAATGTAGACGGCATTGAAACAGAGGAGGGAGAGAACTGTTTAGTAGGAATATATGATTAGGTATTATTGTCATGACAAGAGTCCAGAATGAAAGCTGCATAATGGAGTGGACTGGTCAGGGGCGGGGGAGGGGGGAATTGTATAGCAATGAAAGATTTTTAAAAAATTTTTTAATTCATTTTACTTTTTAAAGAGAAAAGCAGCAGGAAGCTCTGGTGGCCTAGTGGCAAGAAGCTGTGCTGCAATCCCAAAGATGTGCTGTTCAAATCCACGAGATGCTTTGCTGGAGAGGGAGGGGCAATCCCCTCTTGTACCAGACAGATGCAATTAGATGGTACACAACAAGATTAAAAAACCCACAAAGAAACAAATAAATCAAAGAGAAAAGCAAAATGGGCAGGGGAGGGGTAAGCAGGGAGGAAAGTGTGAAACAAGGAATGAATGGAAATAAAAAAGAAAATAGATAGTGTAGATCGACAAGGACATGGGGAAGAGAAAGAACGCTGGGGTGAAATTGGGAAATCAAGTCAGGAACTGATTAATGCCCTGCGCTGCTTTCTTGGAGGCTGTCAATTTCCCCTCTTTCTCCTGAGGGTTTGAACTGCCAAAGCAGCATCACCTTTGGGTTAACAGCACAGCTCCTTACAGACTGTGCCACCAGGGCTCCCTCAGAGGTCTGCTTTCTCCCGGGAAGAGATCCTCAGCACTTCTCCCAGACAGTGGTTATTTTTAACTTACCAGTCTGGAGCTAATCAAGAGAAAATGATAAGTTAAAAGGAAAACACCAAATCACATTCTGTATCTCTGGAGCATCTGTTTGTCTGTCAGTGGTGTGGTGCAGTGCTGTCCAACAAAACCTTCTGGAATGAAGAAAATATTCCAGATGAGTACTGTCCACTGTGGTAGCCAGTGGCCATATGTGGCTAGTGACCATATGACTAATGTGACTGAGGGACGTAATATCTTTTTTATTTTAGAGTGTATATGTATGTGTTGTGTGTGTGTGTACCGTCAAATCAGATCTGACTGGTACAGGAGGAAATAGCCCCTCTTTCTCCAGCAGAGCAATAATCTCTTTTCTTGTGTCCAATTTTTATTCATTTTTATTCAGATAACCACATGCAGCTGGTGGCCACCCTATCGGACGGCACAGCTGTTTGCCAGTCAGTGGGCATGCAATCGTGTTTCTGCCTAATTTCCAATTTTGGTTGATTTTTCCCCCCTTACCAGTTTGCAAATTAAAGCTTATTTTTAAATGCTATAATAGAAGCTAAATATGTAAAAGATAAACATGTAAATACAGAGAAATTAGATAACTTTAAAAGGCTCTTCTTCCGTGAGATAGTTTCTTCTATAAATGAGATGCTTCCCCTATTGGGTTTCTTGATAGCTGGTTTTCCTGAACCTACGCTGGCCAGTGAGGGAGCCGGCCCTGAAGCTTAAGCCTCTTTGGAATGAACCCAACCCTGTATTAGACTTTCCAAGGGCCTCTTGTTGGTATTCCTTTTCCTTCGAAGGATAACAACAGTCACGTCGAGTTTTGATTAAAAGAGGCTTTCTGGACTGTCACAAAGAGAGGCCCGCTATTAATATTTCACAGGGGTTTTGAGGGTAAAATAAGTTAACTTCTCTGCTGCCATCCGTTCTTTATCCAAAACCTGCTGCCAGTGCGTTGATGAGGTTGCCTTTGAGTTCTGGTGAAGCTCCGTTGTCTGACTCGGTTTTCTCATCTCCTTGCTTGCTTACAGGGATTTTTCCGTAGAAGTATTCAGAAGAACATGATTTACACTTGTCACCGAGATAAGAACTGTGTTATTAATAAAGTCACCAGGAATCGATGCCAGTACTGTCGGCTCCAGAAATGCTTTGAAGTGGGAATGTCCAAAGAGTGTAAGTGAAGACACAAATGTATTTTTCCCCCCCTCTTTGCTTTATCTATATGATTTGGTCAGCTACCAAGATAAAAATGTGGAGAATATTATCATATGGAATTCCAACAAGGCACTACTGAGTGCCGAAGGTCGATGTAAACAGGGAGGGTGTGAGAAGAGAACAGGGGCGGAGATTTTCAGATACACCCCGAGTGGCTGTTGGTATCAGGACAGGAGCTGGGTGTCAGTAATGTCAGGTTGTATTACAGAATCGCAACCAGCACACTGGGTAGACTCGGTCTTATCACACCTGAAGTACCGTGGATCCATTTCCCCGTCTTAACAATGAGAATAAGGATTTTTGTTTTCCCCGCTTGTTAACAGTAAAGAGAAAATGACATGAATGTTAACAGTGGTGGCAATCTGGGGTGTTTTTATTTGTGTGTGTGTGTGAATAGGGAAAGGAAGGAAACTCTTCTTGTGGGAAAAACATTTAGAGATTTGGGGCCTTGGCATGTTTCCAATCTCCACTTAGCTTTTCTTGCCAAGCTATCCTCTCTTTCAAATAATAATTTGGTCTGTTAATGCGAAAGGGAACAGTCTAGCAAATGAAGAATTGATTGGCCATCTCTCTAAACACGCAGATTTGAGATAGACATGATTGACTACAGACTCAATACACCACCAGTTCATTCAGCAGTTGCATTCGCTCTCATTTCAAATAGAGAGAGGACCCAGAATGGTGGCCAAATAGCTTGGCTGAGTTGAGGATGTAAAGGTGTGCACCAGGTCATCAGCCTCTTACAGGCCTTCTGTTTCTTCAATCACTGCATCATTTGGGGATTCAGTGAAGGCCCTCTGTGTATCGAACACTGGGTTACAGGACTCTGGGGATATGTGGGATCTGGAAACTGCCTTCCAAGAATGTGGGGTGAAAAAGCTACCATGTGGCTGGAAGAATTATTTATTTACAAGCCAGAGGTTCTTAGATTTCTAAGTGGGTAGTATGACTTTAGGAGAAGACCAGCTGAAGATGCGGTTTACTTGCATGGAGAGTGTAGCTATGCGGGGCCTGTGGAGTCTGCTCTCTCATGTTATCGTGAAGGGTCAGAATCTACTTGATGGCAACAGCTGGTAATCAAGCAATGAGTCTATTTGTAATCCCTCTTCCATGAGAATTCCTCACCACCCCTCGTTTTATTGGCTACAGGTCATTTTCACGTATCAGGCTTATTTGCTCTCCAAGGTGTACATTGTCATCAGGAAGGGTCCTTGGAGGCTGTGGACCCCCAGGCCATACTGCCAGAAGGGGTGACGCAAAAATGCCTGTACCGTTTAGCCTTGCACCCTTTTTCCTGATAGTACTCAGCTGCAAAACTCTTCATTCATTGACTGTTGGATTGTACATTTGTGGATTGTAGTATCCCACTCAACATGAGTCCCATCCCTTTACCTTTCCTAACGACACCCAAATTTTGGTTCTCTTTTCTGCCCGTCACGTGTCTACACTTCTGGGAATACTTAAGGTTGGATCACGACAGTCAAGTTAAGCAATGAGCATATTCTATGTGTAGCCACTGTCATTGATTCATGGCGAGCATGTGTTACCTAGGCAGACTCAATGAGAGCGTGTCTGAGACTCATGTTTAAAATATCCAAACAGATGTGTCCTATCTTCCGATGCTTGTGGATGAGGAAACAAGCAGACACTGGTCCAACTGGTCCATATCCTCCAAGGAAGGCTGTCGAGAATAAAACAGACCCTGTGGGCTGAGAAGTAGAAAGAGACAGACTTTCCACCCTGAATGGTATCAATGAGATGCTCATCCAACTAACCCTGAAATTCACCCTTCAGATTATTGCTAAGAATTATCATCCGGAATAGGTTTATGACCTCTTCTGGCATGAATCTCCTTCTTCTGAATGGTCCTGTGGACACATGATGAGTCTTTTGTCCACATTTCAGTCAGGACCCTTCAATCTCTATAAATTTAAAGTTATCAAATTATTTAAAATGAACCAGTGGGAATGTATAAATCCTGTGCAGGCCCAAATCCTGTGAATGAAAAAGCATCTGAATGACCTGGAGGGAACAGATTGTGTATAATCTATTAGTGAGATAATCACCAAATGGTCCACTTTCATTCTGACATGTTCTAGCCATGGTTGTCATCAGAGCGGGAGAATTCCAGTTCATGCTAAAATTGTGAGTAATCCAGATGTGAACTTAGGGGAAGCTGTGTATTTTATATTTATTTTGTGTGGGAGGGAGACCCACTTCCTGTTTATACTACTTAAGAGCCATATTGTGCTACTCTGTGAAATTTGGAAACTTGATTGGCAATTAAAAAAAGAAGTTACTTCATATCCCACTCCTGACACCAAAAAAAAAAAAAAAAGTAAGACGTTTATGTGCACAGGAAAACTCTCCTCTCTGCCCTCAGAGAACCTATCACTTGCACTTAGATCTAAGAATCTAGAAATGGGACTGAAATAGGATTGTTCTGTCCAAGTAGAAAAAGAACAAATATATTTTTGTTTGAAGACAGATAAAAGAAATAACTCACTGGAATGTAGGTGTTGAGAATCTAATAAAATGTGAATGTGTGTGGGTATTTAAATTGAAATAGAAGGAAGCAACAAAATATGAGAATTGGTAACCAATTAGACCACAGTATACGCAACTGAAATGAACCCAGGAATAACAGATCCTTGTAGAATATTAAAACTGAAAAGAGATCTTAGAGATTGATTTTCACTCACCTTTCTCATTTGACATACAGGTACACTAGGGCCCAGAAAGACGAAACAGTTTTCTCAGTAATCCTCTGCTGGCCAAAGACAGACCCAAGACTAGAGTTCATGTCAGCCACCTCTTCACAACGCTGTCTCTTCTCTAATCCTTTTAGCAAGAGTATGTGTGTGCAGAGTATTAATTGTAGCCGTGGGACACATTTGTATTTCTCAGAACTCTTTGATGCAAGTGACAGAGAAGCCAGTTCATGCTAATTTAAGGTAAAATTTGTCATCTGTAATTAGACATTTCATAGTGCTTGAGTCTGAATCAAGGACAGACATTTGTTTTCAGACTATTGTTTCTGTCAGTCTGTTGCTGTTGTTTTTATGTACTGTTGAGTCATCTGTGACCCTATGTACAATAACCCTAACCCCTGCTCTATCCTGTGCCAATCTTATTGTCTCTAACACACCTACCCCCATTACCCCAATCACTGAATCGATTCATCCCATCAAGGGTCTTCCTCTCCTGCGCTGTCCCTCCACTCTCCCAAGCATGACATCCCTCTCCAAGGACTGGGTCCCTCCTTGCAGCGTGTCCAGAGTATGTCAGATGAAGCTTCAGAATCCTTGCCTCCAAGGAGCAGCCTGACTTCACCCTCTCCAGGACGAACTTGTCTATTCTCCTAGTGGTCCATGGTATTTTCAATACTCTTCTCCATTTAGCAGCCCTGGGATTTAGGCTCAAGTTACTCAAAAGAGTCCTGCTGGTTATTGGCTAAGTATTAGGCTTCTAACTGAAAGGTCAGAGGTTCAAACCCACCAGCAGTTCACCAGGAGAAAGATGGGCTCCTATTAGGAATCACAGCCTGAGAAACCCAATGGGGCAGTTCTGCTCTGTCCTGTAGGGGTCGCTGTATGTTAACATTAACCTGACAGCAATGAGTTTCATTTGGGTTTTTTTTTTTAGTTAAATCAAAAAGTCGGAAATTCAACTGCAATCCATACATCAAAAGGCAGGTTTAATAATTCAAGTTCACATAACCCTTCTGCTGTTTTATTGCCAGTGGTTAATAGAACAATAATCATGCCCCTTGATCTGTATTAGACATAAACCCCATGGAAAAGCATGTGCAAATTTTATTTGTATAGATCAAATTTGATTTTAAACATATATGGGGACTTCCTAGTAAGAGAAACCCTTGATTGAACATTGCCCACCAGCTAATCGTCAGTATTTCTTTATTTCCTGTCTTGCAAATGCTGGTGGGTGTACACGGTCCGTGTTCTCAGGGCACCGTGGAGCTAGGCTAACCCTTTGCAGACAAACCGCTTCCCCTCCGAGCAGGGAATCTGAGAGTGGTAATGACGGGTGAGAAGAAACCATCCCGCGGGCTTCTAAAAAATGGTACCAAAACTTCCGAAGACCCGGGGAAGCAAAGAGACTCCAAGTAGAGTGATGTGATGGGATGGGATGGGATGGGATGGGATGGGATGGGATGGGATGGGATGGGATGGGATGGGATGAGATGAGATGAGCTGCTTGGGATGTTGACAGCAAAGGAGAGCACGTGGCGAATTCCTCGTATAAAAAGGAGGGAGGAAAAGAGAAGAAAGAAAAGTTGGGAATTTTAGATGAATGTCATTTCAGAAAAATAGACAATATTGTACATGGTGGGAAAGGCAGAGATGCTGCTTAGAGAGCGTAGGGCTCTATTACCATAAGCATTTTGATTTATTGCTGAAATTCAAAACAGTTTTTAATCTTTAAACCTCCAAACAAGAGAGCGTTGATGGTGTGTAGTTCACAAGATGTGAGGCTCACACAAAGGCCACACCTTCCTGGTAATTTGAATCCATCAGTAGCAAAACGAGACAAAGACAACAATTCCCTCTCCTGCGATTCACAGCCTTGGAAAGTCTGCTGTTAGTTCCCACACGGTGGCATTGGGTAGTTGGTTGTGAATCTTTAAAACATGGGTCAACGTCCTTCTTCTAAAGATTGGAATGGCTTTGTTGTTGTTGTTGTTAGGTGCCGTCGAGTCGTTGATGACTCATAGCGACCCTGTGAATGAAAGGCCTGAGCACTGTTCATAGGGTTTCCGGAGGCAAGCCATTTCAGAAGTGGATGCCGCTCCTGCTTCCAAGCTTGTTTTAATCAGGGAACTCCACCAAACACTGTCCACCATGGGTGACCATTATCACATTTGACACATCAGTGTCACAGTGTTTAGCATCACAGCAACCATGAGTTACCTCTGTACAGCAATGCCAGACCAGTGC